CCCGGCGCCGCAGGCCCGCGCACCCGGCCCAGCGGCCGGCTCTGTCCTCGCCCAGCAGAGAGCCAAAGGCCAGAGACCCGCCCTTCCCGCCAAGGCCCGGGGCCACGGCTTTGGGGGCGCTGGTCTCCAGCAAGCAAGCCTCCCTGGCCGTGCCCCCTCCAGCCTCCCGCCCCTTTGCCTCAGAGCAGGCCCCGGGCGGAGCCTGGCCACCGACCCGCTGGAGAGGAGGCCCCTCAGTGCCTGGGCATCTTTTGTCCAGCCTGGGAGGGACGGACCGGCCGGGGTCCACCCAGCCTCAGCGTCCGCGTGCACCCTGCGTGCTGAGACACCTCAGGGTCTTCCGTGGCGCTCGGCCGCCCAGGAGTCCAGGCTCCCCACCGGTGCCGGAACAGGCCATGGCGTGGCCCTGGTGGGTGGGCAGTGAGTGAAGTTGGCCTGGCAGAAGTTCTTGGTCCTCTTAAGCTGCTATCGGGCCTTGCCTCATGTCGCGGGGAGAGGGTCGGGTTCCACGACCGAGCCCGTGACCTGCAGAGGCACAAGGCGTGGGGGGGGATGGCGTGGCCGGGCCCGGGGGCCCCAGTGCCCAGGCCGCCACGGGCCTCCCCCAGCCTCCGGGCATAGTTCCCCTTGGGTCTGGACTTGATGTCTGCCTAAGGCAGCTCTCCCTGCGCTGCCCCCTGCCGCCGCCTGGAACCTTAGGGGGCAGGAAGCCCAGCAGGGGTCCCGGGGGCGCCCAGAGCGCTCTGGAAGCCACACCCGGGTGCTCTGGGAGGGGAATCCGCACGTCTGACGCTTCCCTAGCCTGCCAGTCCGTCACACTTGGGAGCGGAGAAGCGAGGAGAGGAGGCAGAGCGGACGGTGACTGGAGAAATCAGAGGCGTGGGTCAGCAGGACAGGGGCTGAGGAGCAGCGTGCAGGGACGGAGCCGCTTCCCGCCCTGCCGGCCCGGCCCGGCCCAGGCTGCACACCCGGTGCCAGACACCCCACAGGGTGGCCAGACCGCAAACGTGGGGTGTCTGAGCAGAGAGCGCCCCGCCCTCCCATCAGCTCTGGGCCCTCCCTGGCTGAGGCTCCCTGGGGCAGGCCCTCGTGCCCTCCCCCAGGCCACCCGCTGCCCAGGCCGCGGCCCAGGGGCTGGCCGGGTGCGCAGGGCAGGCCGCGTCGCTCAGGACATGGGCCTGGCCAGCCCTCGGCGGCGGGGACCTGTGTCCAGGCCTCACGACGACCAGCCGAGCCACTCGGGGAAGGTATCTGGACTCGCTCCCGTCCCGCGCCGAGGCGCCTGAGGCCGCAGAGTGCAGCGGCGGGCGCCTGCTCAGCTGTCCCGGGCTCAGAGGAGGTGACCTGCTCCCAGAGAGTCGTGGGGGAGCAGGAAGAAACGATTCCAACTACTGCACGAAGTCCACCAGTGAAGCCGGGGGACCAGGTCGACCAGGGAGCGTCCATTGTGTGTTTGCGCCCGAAGTGAAGCAGTAAGGTGCACTGGAACTGTCTGAAAACGGGACCCAGAGAACCACCCTGTTTGCATAGCACCCGAGAGGCGGCGTGATGGGGAGGAGCTGCCCTGCGGCCCGCGCCCACCCCTCCTGTCCCGCTGCCCGCCCGCTCCGTCTCTGGGGCGTGCTCTCACCCGCACCTGCCACCCGCACCAGCTCTGCCTGCGTAAGACAAATCTTCAACGCACGAGCGAGAGTGTGGACGGGCGCTGGCGCGCTAATGAGTGAGGAGCTGTGTCCGGGGCCCGGGGGGCGGCCCTGCGTGGCGACCCCCAGCCGGCGTCTGTCAGAGCCACGTCTGCTGCTAGACCGCGGCAGACGGCCCGTGACACCGGCGGGGCCGCGCGCTCTCAGGGCTCCCCGTGCGCCCACCTGTGCAGGTAAACGCTGCTGCAGCGGGCGCGTGTTGATTGGGGAAAGGTCCAGGGCGGTGGTCAGATTTGGTCCTGGGCGGGCCCGAGAGCTTGGGCTTCCCTGCGGTGGACGCTGCGGCTCCGCTCCGGCGCTGGCCCTGCCCGCCGCCTCCCCGCGCTCCGCGGCTCCGCCTGCTGTTTCTCACTCCTTTTCACCAGACGGTGTTCAAAGGCCTGGGCCACTGCCAGAGCCCGGACCTGCGCCCCGCGGCGCCGCAGGCTGTGCACAGCGCCCCCAGGCCTCCGCGGCGGCCCCCGCCCCACCGGCCCGCGTGTCTGGTCCTCTTCCACACGCGACTGGGGTCCCACGCGCTCTGCCTCGCGGGCTCCTGTCCTCCCGGGCCCCTGCTGCAGGGCCAGGTGCCGCTCCGAGGGCGTCACGCGAGCCCCTCCATCGCCCGGTCTGCCCAGTCGCCACGTGGGCTGATGCCGTCCCGCCCTGGGGTCTGGCCCCAAGGGTGGGCTCCCTGCCGCTGCGCGTGGACCCAGCTGCAGGCCCTTCCCTTGTCTCCGGGCTCGGGCGGCCTCCCAGCCTCCCTGCTGCAAGGGGCCCGCTGCCGGCGCCGTCTGCCTCCAGCGAGGGCTGGGGGGGTGCACCGTGTGAACTCGGGGTGAGCGCGTGAGGTGCTCCCTGCGCCTGGCAGGACGGCACGGCCATCTGCCGCGTCCACTCCGCCGCGCGTCGGTCCCCGCAGAGCTGTCTGGCCACACCGCTGCTCTGTGTGCAGGTGCAGGCCGCTGGGCCGCTGGTGGACACCCGGGCCCCACGGATGCCCAGCCACCTCCACCTGAGACTCAGGAGGCTGAAGGTAACCCAAGTCCTGGTTCTGTGGGGGCAGGTGGGTGAGAATGGGGGGCCCTGGCCTGCGGGACGGGGGAGGGGGGTGCAGCCCGCCGCAGAGCGCCTGTTCTGTGAGCCAAGCGCCTGCCGCCGGCCAGTCCACGCCGCCTGGCGCAAGGGGCCACTTCCAGGGGCCTATTCCTCTGGCCACAGCCGTCCGTCCTCTGCACAGCACAAAGTGGCTTTCCTGACGTGGGCAGGCTGCTCGTCCAGTCCCCAGAAGCCGACAGTCGCCCAGCGCGGCCCTCGGCGGGCGGGCGGGCGGGCGG